TCGCCAGTCCCTGGCACTGTTATTTTGGGGGTCACGGGCTGAAAAGTTTGGGAACCCCTGACTTATAGTATACACATTTTATTACCAGTAAGAGGCTTTGAACGTGGTCAGCTCCTATTTTATCAATATTAGAGACCACCGGTCCTTCCATCACAGCTTTGATGCGAGCACCCTCTACAGTAAGCCGAGGAAGGATCAACGTCTTGATGACCTGCGGGGGACAAAATCAGGAGGTTGGTGTGGATCGAATAAAAGGTCACAATGATAAAGACCAGAGGAAAACAGAATGAGACTCACATCCGGCCCGAGTTCAGCCAGTCCAGCGATGCAGCCGTAACGTGTCGTCCACTGGGTTTTGTCATCCAGCCAACTCTGAGGAAACATGTCAGCCCGGTTCAGTATGTGAAGTATTATATAATATTTATCTAAATGATCCCCCAAAATGTAATGCACCTGTGACTGGAATCTTTGTTCTAAAACTATCACTGGGTATTTAATTTCGCATTTTTTGGGGTCAGGGAAATTGGCAATTAAAAAATATATGTTATCAATTATTACAATTTCATAAAGAATAGAAAGCAGGGTTCATACACTTTCTCACCAATGATTTTCAATGACTTCTCCATGACCTTTACCTAACTTTCCATGACCAAAAACATTACTCTTTCTCAGCGGTACCACTGAAAATGGTTATTTTAATATAGGAAAATAAGGTCTGCATATGAAACATGTTGTGCGTATCTAAAACAAATCAAATAGGCTTACTAGCTTCTACTAGAATCTCTCACCAGCAAAATACCTCGTCAGTTAAATGCCATTTTACGTTTCATTACTATACAGTATTTATTATCATTACAGTATTACTATTTTGCCGATTAGATAAAATATGAATTATATTTGGTGCAACTTTAGTTACATTTCCATGACTTTTCCAAAACGTTGGAAAAAATATTGTTTTCCATAACTTTTCCAGGGCCTGGAATTTGCATTTTGAATTTCCATGACTTTTCCAGGTTTATTTAATGACCGTAAGAACCCATGATTTTTTCGTCATTGAGCATAATACATCAAAATTAGAAGTGATATTCCTGATCAGTGCAGTTTAAAAGACACAGAATATAAACAGGGAACACACAGCAAAAACAGCAGCTTCTAAAAAAGCATGTCAAATAAATAAATACAATGTAATTATTGTGTAGCATAAGAGTAGAATCAGAGTAAATCCTATTATTGAATTATTATGATCAAAAGACATTTCACGGCCCAAGTGACCGATTATCTAGAACCGGACCGTATTAACTCAACTTGTCTGAAACTCAATATTTTGTGAGGAAACAATACAACACAATAACCCACCTTCGTAAAAGTCTTGGTGATTCGGGACTGGATGTTGTTGGTTGTTGTGCTGAAGGTTTTACAACTCTGGGCCATGAGGCGAGCGGCGAAGTCTCGTAGAGCCCAGTGGTTGTCCACATCTGGTCGCAAACACAGCTGCTTACTCACAATACACGTCACCACAGCTGGGATGAGCTCATGCAGCTGCAAATACAGATAGGAATATGTAACGTTAGAATAATATACTGAGATTACACTCCACGACCCCACCACGGATGAGCGGGAGAAGATGGAACATTATAACATTTTGTTTTCTGCACTTACGTATTTCTCCAAATACAGCGTGGGGTTGTCCATGAGAGCTTTGACCATCCGCATGAGATAGATGAGCAGAGCCAGGTTGTTTTGCACCACATTGACACGGACCTTTAATGAGAGCATACAGTCAGTATATTCAGCAGAGATACACTTGGTTCTTTGATACGAGGGGAATGATGCTTGGGAAAAGATGCTTACTCCTTCAGAGATAAATGTGCTGAATCTTGGAAGCATCTGATACAGTCCAGGATCTGTAGCAATGCTCTGTAAAGCCTCCTGAAAGAGACCAGAGGAAACATGCCAAACGAGGTTAAAGCTACCTGGAGATCATTTGGAAAATATATTATGTTATTGCGCATTTCTCTTATGTCTCCTTGTTTCTTATGCTGCTGCAACGCAAGCATTTCCAAAATTGGGATCAATAAAGTACCTCTCTATCCATCCATCCATCCATCCATCCATCTATCTATCCATCCATCTATCTATCTATCCATCCATCTATCTATCTATCCATCCATCTTTCCATCCATCCATCCATCCATCCATCTATCTATCTATCCATCCATCTACATATCTATCCATCTATCTATCCATCCATCTATATATCCATCCATCCATCTATCTATCTATCTATCCATCCATCCATCCATCCATCTATATATCCATCCATCTATCCATCCATCCATCTATATATCTATCCATCTATCTATCCATCCATCCATCCATCCATCCATCCATCCATCTATCTATCCATCTATCCATCCATCCCTCTATCTATCCATCCATCTAACCATCTATCTATCCATCCATCTATCCATCCATCTATCTATCCATCCATCTATCTATCTATCTATCCATCCATCCATCCATCCATCCATCTATCCATCCATCTATCTATCTATCTATCCATCCATCCATCCATCTATCTATCTATCTATCCATCCATCTATCCATCATCTATCCATCCATCCAAAAAGTGTTCCCATTTTTTATAGCCGATTAATAAAAACGAACGATCTCTTAACAAAACAAGAAAAAGCGAATAGCTTCGTTACTCAGCGTGTATGTAATAAAACCTGTATACAGAAAGGCTGTACTTACAGCTCTCTTGGCTTCACAGGAGCCAACACAAGCTTCTGTGATTTCCTTGTAGTAGAGCTGCTGTTCCACAGAGAGCTCATGGGTGCTGCGAGGCTTCAGCCTTATTAGACCCTTATCCTTTCCTGAAAGAGACAGAGCATAATGGGGACGTATTAGGGAGGGAAGAAGGAAGCAGTTTGGTAGAAGAACAAATAGGAAAGTGGAACAAATGTAATATAACACAAGAGTCTGACCTTTGCCATCAGCAGCTGTCATCCCCTTGCCATGAATCGTGCCCTCTTCCTCCTGGCCAGGTTTGACCACTTTGAGCGGCTCTGTCGATTCAACCTTTTGTTGCTCTTTTGGTGCTGAAATGCAACAACAAAAAAACCCACTTTTAAAATCTATCATCCAAGGTTTTTAGCGTCTTTTATAGGAAAGATTCTAAACAAAGCTTACCTGGTGGTGGATTTTCTGGAATAGAAGGTTGCACCCCCTCGATGCTTAACCAGTGGGCTGTGAATAAGTAAACAAGTATGGTTATACAAGGTTTAAGTAAAAAAACGAATCATTTATTATTCGGGAGTATAAGGGCATGTAATAGTGATTATATGGATACCTTTGAGCGACACATCTAGGGGAACTCTGGGCAGCGGCGTGTTAATAATGTCACTGAGGTCGACTTCCTTTTCCTCATAGAAATGAAGCTCTCTCCCACCACCGCTTGCAAAGCGAAAAGGAATAAACTCTTGGGTCTGGAACCCGTACAGCGGCTATAACGAGAGGAATTTAGTCGCAGTTAGTTAAGACATTAAAAAATAAATAAAAAAGGCACCTAGAAAAAAAGATCCAGCATCCATTCAGTGGTGCTCAATCAAGTGATAAAAGTTCTCCCTTACCTCCACGTTTTTTAGTTTGAGAGCATTATCTATGTCACTGGTGGTTAATTTACGTCTCTTTCCATGATGCATGAATTTGAGCGCATCCTAGGTAGAAAAAACAAAGTAAAGAAATCAAACAAAATGTAAGACATTCAAGAATGTGGTTTCAGAGCAGTTGGCAGAACCACAAGTAAAGTGTCTGCTTCAATCATCTGGGACTTACCTGTGCAATTTCCTTTATTCTGTAGCTGACTTCTTCACTCAGGGCCGCGCAGCTTTCCTCCTGCAGCTGCCCCACTCCCACAGACTCTGCCATGGCCTTCATGGACTCTGTGGGCACCGTGACCGTGCACTGCTTCGGCCGACGTTCCTCCGCCATGGCTACAAAAAGTTCACAAGTTTGTAAATATCACTCTTCACAAAAAAACAATCTAATTCAAAGCGAACTATTCCACTTATTCAGGAGACAGCCGTGTTCTTCAGGTACAACATTAGAATAGATCACTGCCATTAATGAACAACACTCAATGGGTCTGAAGCCACAAACAGCATTCATGACGTTGCAGTGAAAGCCTTGATGTAGTTGTGAGACAAACATTAAATATAACCTTTAGTCTACTTGAATAAGCACCATTGTAAGGAAGGGGCAGCAGGTTTTTATTGCAGGGATTAGCATAATATGGATAATGTGGGTGTTTCACTGAAGTGTATGGATGGTTTACCAAAAGAAAAACGTAATGTTGCGTTGTGTAAAATCTCTGTTAATGTTTGTCAGAGAACATGTGGGAAACCCAAAACAGGAAGAAGTATCTAAGGTCTTATGAGATCATAATTACAAATCAAACACATGTTATATTTGTCGTAAACCAAGCAACTCTTTAAAATCGATAAATAGATACTTTAATGATCCAAAATTGGGAAATTATTTTTCTTACAGCAGCAATGTGTTCATTACAGCAGCAATGTGTTCAGGCATTACACTATTTAAACAACAGTAACATATATAACTATATGACAACATATATGACAGTTATGTAAAGTAGCTGTTATGGAGGGAGAAACTCAAACTATGGGGCAACAACGCATGTTTCATACATGGTGACATAAATGAAAGAGGAAAAGAGTAATTCGTTTTGATAATGCAAAAGGTATTGGTTTCAAAACTCAATATTGCAGTTAATGGAACTTTCTGGAAAATAGTGAAGTGTCAATATGTTGCACAGACGGAAGGCAGAAAGCTGCCTCAAAAGACTTTTCGCTCATCAGTGCCCCAAATTATGATAAATATCCACTTTGATCCAATAGTGTATCTTGTTTATAACTCAACATGCAAAGGTCCAGGGGATAAATGCATTTTAACAATGGTTTTATATACTTTAAGTGTGTAAACAAACACTGACCTACACAGAAAGCGGGTAACCACTTTGACGGATAACAACCAACTAGCTTCATATACCACTCAAGCTACATACAAAGTATATTCAATCAAACGCAACAAAGTTATGCAAAAAATAAAAACAGCGTTCGTTTTAAATTCATTCAAACCATTGCATGGTTCTTTAATATTAACTTTCAGTGAGATGGATTTGATAAACGTTAGCTTGCATGCTAACAACTTAGCATCCGTTGACATTTTACCTGTGTGAAGTTGTCCTCTCCCTTCTGAATTTAAGCAGGAATGTACACGAATAAAACCAGGCAATGTTAAGATTTGAAATAATATTTTCTTCGCAAAGCTAATTTTTCTCGATGAATATCCATCTCTTGATATAAATAACTAACTCATTTACGAATTGGAGCTGGGACCACCGCTCGTGAATTAGCGCTTATGTTCCATCGCCATTTTGAGTCACGTTCAGGGTTTGATCTCGCGAGACTATAATTGAGGAAATCACAGACAGAGCATCCGTTTGTTTGAAAAGTAATTTATTACAACTCGATTAAGTCACCGTTTTTTTAAATCTTAAATTCACGAAAAGTACACTTGAATATTAATACTTATATTACAACTTAATTAAATGCCAGTTCGACCTACGGGACTCCCCTCCCTTTATACAACAGTCCTCCCCAGTGTCCGGAACCAATGTTATCCTCGACATTACGGGGGTGACTTTATGGTGTAGCACCGGAGACAAATGTCAGGAGCGTGGAAGGGCATTGCAAGAAGCAATCATGTACAGATTTTTATTCCGGACCGTTTACACGGCTCGAAAGTCTTCTGTCCGTATCTATGAGGCGTGTGTGTTGCCAGTTAAATGTGACAAAGCTGCAGTTTTTAGGTGAGTGAACAGTACATATGATAACATACAGCGTGACTGACGAACGTCCGCAACTACATAACAGGTCGTTAAGGAGTGTGTTCAGTTTTATAAATTATAATGTGCATTTTGAAATAGCTAGAAAATGTGTTCTTCTTTCCATAAAAGCTAACGTGTAAACTATTAGCTTATGATGGTACGGGACATTTTGAGTGACATCTCTGTGAGCATAGGTAGGTGTATAGGAACTATATTTTATTTAAAGGTCATAATAACATTGTATTGCACCCCTATGATTGCACCCCATGTCCCATTCAAAGCATCATATAATTAACAAGAGTACACTAGTTTTAGCACATAATACATTGTGACATTCTCATACATGGTTTTATAGAATCACAATATGTTCACCCCATTACAATCGTTTCTTGTATATATCGTGTGTGTGTATGTAACCTAATTCATGGCAATATATGTACATATAGTCTAATGGTGTGTGTGTGTGTGTGTGTCCATGTCCCTTTGTATGTACTCATGTTAATCTCTGTGTATCTGTTCCTGTATATGTGTGCATGATCAGAGATCAGTTATTTTAGGTTTGACTCGTTTCAGCCAGTGTTTCACCGTTTTCAGATCAATTTGGGTTTCTATTTCCATTGGTAGGTCATTTCATGTGTATTCCTTTCACAAAAACGGAATCTAAGGAATATAGTTCAAGTGACCCCCTTGTGACAGCCTGGATAACCCAGCATCTCACTCACTTTGCTCAGTATTTCACTGGGTGAGAACAGGAAGTGTATTTGTAGCCTAAGAGCTGATTTTCTACTTTTTGTATTGAATTTTGTAGTATTATTATTACTCAAACTTGTTTGCTTCCTTACGATTCACACACGTATGATGATTAACTGAGTTTTCTTTTCTTTAATATAGGTTTGCAAATGGAGGGGGAGTCAAAGCCCTCAGCACATGTTCTATCAGGCTCTGTGAAAAGAAAGACAATGTTGCCTCATCTATTGAAGAGGAGAAAACCCTTGCAGAAAAACCAGTCGACCCGACAGAAACACCAACTTCGGTGACACAGAAAGCTGAAGATGACAGCAAAGTCATCAAAATGGAGGAACAAAGGGAGGAGGAGCCGGTGGTGTTGAAGACGGAGGATGAAGGCACGACGCAGCAGCAGGTGGATGTTAAAACTGAACAGGTTGAGGCAACACCAGCAGAAGTGAAAACTGTGGCAGCTAAGAATGGGAAAGACAGTCTCCTTGATATTCTTGGAGGCATGAGGGTGTCTGTAACCAGTAAGAGGAAGCTCAAAAACTTGGAAGCGTGGCAAAGCAAGGATTCTACAACCAAGCCAGCAGCTATGGAGAGCACCATCAGTATGTTTCAGAAGGCCACTGAGGAGGCTTCAGCCCAGAGGTGAGAGGGGGGTTGAAATGTATGGCATCACAGCAGCAAAGGCAGAGTGCAGATTAAAGGGGACCTATCATGCAAAATGCACTTTGTGATGTCTTTTATAAATAAATATGTGTCCCCGGTGCGTCGGGGAACTCACGCAGCGTCAGAAAATAAAAAAAGAACTCACCTTGTGATAAACCTGCAAGAGAAAAAACATTTGAGCTCCATACTGTTTCAGAAATAATCCTTGACGTGGTTTAAACAGGATGGCATTTTATAACAACCAAATTTAACTTTATCTCCGGTAGAATTCTGATCAGGCATTAGCTCCGCCTCCTCTTCTTTATTTAGTTCAAGCTAAGGACCCAAAATCTGCGTTTCTCTAACAGGGCTGCAAAAGAGGGGTTTGAGCAGTATGAGGCATGGCTACAACGGGGGGTCTGTTTGGTATTTTGAAATAAAAACTTCACAGACATGTTTTATATAGGTATGGTCCTACAACATATTTTTCAAATATAGCATACTAGGTCGACTTTAAAGTAGAAAGAGTAGAATTACATAGAAAAAAAAGTAGCAGTTTTCTTAAAAAAGTCACTATATACACATATCAGGTTAAATTGCCTTGCTGGAGCGCATGTTTCTTTAATGAATTTGTTCTTTTTACAACCAAAGTTTGATTGTTTGACCTTTGTGCCTTCACACTTTGAACTTACTTTACACCTTGATCTTGATGACATCTGGTGTGTCTTTCAACATCTTCTTATAATGAAGTATGCCGCCTTCTTCCTCTTCTTCTTCTTCTTCTTAGTGAGACTCTGGATCCTCAGCTGGTTGCCGCTGCGTCTGCTGCCGCCTCCACCCTCCCCGACAGCAGCCAGGCCGCGTCGGAGCTGCTCCGCCAGCTGAGGCAGCAACAGACCGTCACTGAGGCTCAGAAGAAAGGGGACATGAGTATCCTCGGGTATGTATCCAGTATGTTAATGGATCATTATTTGGCTTGTGGTGGTATTGTTTTCTATATTTGTACGCAGCAGCAGCTTTTATATTTTATGCTCCACAAATCTGGAGTAAACTTCCTGAACAGCTGACGTCTGCCCCAACAACGAGATTGTTTTAAATCAAGTCTAAAAACCTTTCTTTTTATTGCTGCATTTCCCAAGGTCAATTCAATATATGTTGTTATTATATTTCTGCACTTCTTGCAGCATCATCTTACAGTGTCAATTTTAAACAACCTTCTATCCTCAATAAACAAATATTTAACTTTTACCTTAAATAAGTTTGGGGTCAATTGTTTTATATGAATATTGACGTGAAAATCAAGCAGTTTCATTATTAAAATGTCTCAAATGTGATATTGTTTTTTGTGTTTCCATTCTGTATAATGGAAAACAAAAGGCATCGGTCTAAATGAATCCAACAATGTTTTTCTCAGAGACATCATCACTGACATGAAAGTAGAAAAGATCCCCAACAGGAGGCAGAGCAACCGGCCGGCCAATCAGATCCAGTTTGATGACGACGGTCCAGGATACACTCACGTAAAAGGAATCGACACAGAGCTATACAGTTCTCGGAACAAGTAAATATCTCTCATCACATCTTTACTCGGGTAGCTTTTAAAATGGAACATGTGCTTGAGATCTGTTTGTTTTTGTTTCTTTAGGAAGGTCTATATCTCAAGGCAAAGGCTCAACATCTTCCCTTGCACTACTGATGAAGATGGAGTTGAATCAGCAGTTGGTAATAAGCCATTTTGATGTCGTATTAACTCTGTTATTATGTATTAACTGCTTACTTACATTGGCTAACTCAATTGTGTATATCAGAGGTTTTCATAGGAGGGCTCTACGTTTTTAGGGGAAGCTCAGTGTAAGTAACACCACGTAGAAAGAGATAGTTAATAGAGAAAAATAAGTTTGAGGGAAATTCTTTTTTTCCAGATTCAGAAACAAAAGGAAGTCATAGAAAATACCTTTTTTGTATTTGTCCGTTATGACAAACATCAATATTAGGGTATCTTAGCTTAATCGTCGAGTGTCTATGGCATCAAAAAACAATGATGATCCCATAGGCATCTATGAATTGGGCAAAACTAAATAAGTAAACTAAGATGGGAGTCGAGGGGCTTCTTTTACCATGCTTTGNTCCTTAGAAATAACTGTTGAAAATAAGGCTTCAATTGTGCTTATTGTCCCTGGACACCATTGGTCTCTCCTAAACCGTTTTAATGTCCCAATGAAAGAGCTGTTGAATTGAGGACTTCTGCCCATAACGCTGATGTGACTCTTCCACAGTCCGGCCAACTCTATGGGACATTGTTTTGGCTAATGATCTGTCTCTGTGCACCGAACAAACACACCGCAACGGGCTGGAGGAGATGATCCAGTGGACCAAAGAGGGGAGAATGTGGCAGTACCCAATCAACAACGAAGCTGGTGAGTAACACGTAAAAAGGCAAATATACAGAATTAATGAAGTAGCCAGCACAAATTGATACTCTCACGCAGGTTCACTCCGGTGCTACACGTTTTCTTTGGTTCAGAAATCTTGAAACAAACAGAAGATCACCTTCATGTCTACACTCTCCGTTCGGCGCGAATCACACTTTCTTTACTGAAACTCTCCTTCTCCTCCGTGCTCTCGCGAGACTTGACGTCACACTCATACACACATCATAAATGCACTTTGTGTGTTACAATACTGACACCTGCTGGTAATCTCCCAAAACATGTTTATGAACATAATCATTTTAACACAACAAGTTATGTTCCTAACCAAAAGCAATACGCAACAGCAGCATATCATCTTCTACTACTAACGTTTAACTACTGAATAAACCTGAATAATACGACTGTATGCCACAATGACGGAATGACACTGACTGTTTCTTCTTACTCTCCGTTAGGACTTGAGGAGGAAGCCAGCGTCCCGTTCCATGAGCACATCTTTTTAGAGGAACACTTGCAGGAGGGTTTCCCCCGACAGGGACCGGTGCGTCACTTCATGGAGCTGGTGGTGGCCGGCCTGTCCAAAAACCCTTACCTCACAGTCCAACAGAAGAGGGACCACATTTCCTGGTTCAGAGACTACTTCCACCAGAAAGAGGACGTCCTGAAAGAGGCTGAAGTTTACCTCAACTGAGACAATTGCGTCTGTTTTCAACATTTGTTGAATGGGGACACATAAAAGTAAGACCTGTTCACTCAGCGGGGCTTTGCAACTACGATCATCTTTAGCATTTCAGTTGGATTTCATCACTTGCAGGAGGCCTGTTGAAGCGGCATCAAGTCTGTGTCCTGGTGGCAAACATTGTACATTATCTACTGTTTCTAAAATGTTGATCAGACTTCTATAGAACCGCTGTTAAAAAGACTGCGTTTATAGATTGATTGTACAAAGTATACAAAAAGTGTAAAAGAGCAAAAAACGGCTTATTCCAGTTAGTGACACACATTTACTGCATCACTGGTGATTCATTCAACCTTTACTTTCATAATCCAATGCTGATGCAGGCGATTTACTGGCTATGATGTTTCAATAGTGGTGACACAATAAAATAAAAATGATTTGGATTTTTTGTATCTTGAATACCGTAATGCTTATATCTATCCAGTGGTTGTTGTTGTTGTGATACACACAAGTAGCAAGTGATTAACTAGCTTCAAATATTGATTTAAAGAGTTTCTATCAAGGCATGTTTGCAGATTTAGGCTTCATTAAAAAAAGCACTGGACCCTTAAGTTGAATTGAGGTTTAAGTCATTGAATTTCAAAGGAAACTGGTGGATGAAAATATTTTTGTACTCTTTTTGTGTGACGGGTCAAACAAACACCTTTGATCGTGATTGATTGTGTTTTTGCTGGAAGGCTGTAACACAAGTGTAACTCATATGCACAACTTAGGACCTCAGATCGGGTTTACAGTAGGAGCGTAATAAGACCTTGAACCTCGTGCCCTCTGCAGGGGAAGTACTTTTAAAGCTAAAAAACATGTTAACAATGTACGGCACAGATTCAATCTGGTCTAAAAACACCCTCGGTAATCTATTGTCTGAGAACGTGTGGAAAACGAGAGCTTGACAGTTGAGAGTGCCTCGTTTCCACATTTTGTTCACTTTTCCTTAAACACATGATTGGCATGATAAGATTTTGGCAACACTTCTCTTTTATATGTATGAAGTTCAAAAAAAGTCAAAGTGTTTTTGAGTGTAAGGAAAAGTCTTACGCACAAATAACCCACTAGATGGCGCTGCTGACAGCTTTGGGACATGAGGGTCGTTTTTTTTTTAAACACTTTACAACAAAAATGGGATATTTCAAAAGAAAAAATCTACCCTGTGCAGTAACTTGTCCGTACTTTATCAAAACCTTTAGTCAATTGAAGCGACTGTTTCTGATGTCAAAAAATCAAGTTAATTGCCAATAACATTATTTAAGGTTTATTTAAACAATATATGTGTTGGAAATAATCAAATATCCAGTTTATACATAAATCTCTCTTCTAGTAATGTCACATCTGTAGATAGATTTTCCTATTAAAAAAAACACAAGGGACAAGGTGTGTGATATTTATCAATCTTGGATGTTTTGGTGTGACTTGGCTGTAGAGATGCATGCGTTTTCTTGAATATAACAGAACTACATGGCACTTGGCTTGTGGTGCTCAAAGAGAACAACTGCATATCATATTTTTTTTTTAAAGTATTGTCTTTCACACAGCAACTCAAACCAAAGCCTTTATTTGTGTGTATATGTGTAGGATATCATGAGTGTTTGTGGTCTACAGCTCCTCATTACTCAAAAAAACCACGAAGAGTATAATGTGGTCTAATTCATAATTTATTTAGGAAATTATTCAAGCTCAACTTCCCCTTGTAAAAAAAACATAGTGCATTTATTTAACACGGCTTCTACTCCTTCTACTTGCCACCAGAGCATTTGAACGCACCTTCAAGTTGTATGAGCAGGATGACGGAGCCTGTGTGTGGTCCTTGAAGGCAACATCACACTCGCTGACAGTTGAGAGTAGAGACCAGTCGGTGCAGGATGGTGTGACTTCAGTGAAGACTTTGAACCAAACATTTATCCAACTTTTAAATTGCAAACCTCTTGTCTGGTGTGTGTGTGTGGACGCAAAACCACTTTTACCTGTTGATTTTGATTCCCCCCCCCCCCAATTATTTATTTTTGTATGCGAGCGTCTGTGACAGTAAGTTTGACACAGGCATGGCTGAGGTACCGCAGCCGGTCGAAATAGACCCGGAATTCGAGCCTCTCTCCCGGCCGCGGTCCTGCACCTGGCCGCTGCCCCGCCCGGAGCTCAGCGACCCGGCCGGCTCCAACACCTCCTCCCCGGCCCCCTCAGTGCAGCAGGAGCCCGGAGGAAACACCGACTTCATCAGCAGCCTCGGCTTGTTAGAGGAGGACTATGAAGAGTATGCGGAGCAGAGTGACTTTCAGTGTCGAGAGGGGAATTGTGTCCCTCCACAGCAGCAGCACCACCTCCATCCCCTCCAGCAGCAGCCGCTCCCCGGTCCTCAGATGCCCGCTCAGCAGGTCCCCTCTCCGGGCGTCACTCCTCCGGGCAGCAGCACCTCCGGACCGAGGAAAAGCAGCTCGTCCCGCCGCAACGCCTGGGGGAACATGTCGTACGCCGACCTGATCACCAAGGCCATAGACAGCTCACCTGAGAAGAGGCTGACTCTGTCTCAGATTTACGACTGGATGGTGAAGAACGTGCCTTACTTCAAGGATAAGGGAGACAGCAACAGCTCCGCGGGCTGGAAGGTGAGTGAGTGTTAAGAAGCTGAGGTGCGTTCATGGTTGAGATGTAACCATTTAACGCCAAACCAAAAGTATAAACATAACATTAACACACGTGTCATTCAATGCTGTAACTTAGCAGCACACCTGCACAATACTTTCCAAAATACTTAAGTTGCTGAACACTTTGGCAAACTTTCTGATGCAGTTTTTCAAAAATGATTTTACTTTCTTTAAATACATGCTATTTAAAATGAAATAGCATGTAGATTAGTTTATTCTGCAGTAACTTAACTCTAGCTAACACTCAACAGAAGTTGGCTAAAATAAGATTGACTTTATTGATTCCAATTTGGGAATGTTTTCGTCACAGCAGCAGTAGCCTACTGTAAACAAGGAATTGAACATAATATGAAGATGAGAAAGGTACATAAACAAACATAAACACTAGATATAAACAAATCAAAATAAGAAAATAAAACAAAAAAGTAAAATTCATAATGACAGTGAAACATATCTGTAGACTATCTGTCGAATACATGCAATAAGTGTGCAAAACGTTGCATTTTAAATCAAATATGAATGTACAATGCTCAGTGTGAAGACAATACAGATATGTAAATGGTGGTTGTTGAAGGGGAAAGTGTTGGAGCAGTTAGAAACAGGTTTCTATAATATTCTGTTCAATATTTTCCATTATAGGGAATTTAAGAAAGCATTCTGAAATGTGGCAGTAAATAACAAAAATGAATGATGGCTGAAGTCCATGTGTTTTGTACCTGTTTTTTCCTACTCGCCAGTCAGTGTTGTCATAGCAACTGTTTCCCAAAGCAGCACAAATACCTGGTGTGACCTCACTCAATGTAATGTGGTCACTCAGTCTGTCGTGATGATGAACCAGACAGAGCACTTTTATAACTTTGCATGTGGATTTTATGCTCTGTACTTTTATTTCAAGCCAATACTTGTTTGCCATTCAGTGCTTTAGGGGATCATTCATTGGAAACATCTTGGCTAACTCGTATTTTTATTAACGCAGGTTTAAAAAAAACGTCAATAGTTTCATCATATTTATTCTTTCTTAGTGTCTATGAACTACTGTCTATACTTAGTGTATTACATTTCTATACTTCAGGGTATAGTGTTTATACCCATTTCTACTGCCAAACTGTATATCCTCAGTACTCTGAGCCATGCATCTAATTGAATCTAAAACTAATGAATACATGAAAAACAATACTTGTTTCTTTATCTATCATTTAAAAACTGCTCAGTGGTTGCTCTTGAGTTTGGCTTCTGAACTTTGGCTTGTTAGTAACCTTTGAAGTGTTGGAGCGGTTTCCTCTGTCAGCTATAGCACACGCCTCTCTGCTGTGTCAGTGAGGAAACATAAAGCTCTGAAGCAGCCAGTAAATCTTGCTGTAAACATCCCAAACATCCAGAATAGTTCTCTCTGTGCTGGAACAATCTATCCATTACAAGCACAAAACATACCGACTCATGGACTATGCAGCATTTCCACAGTCATGGAAAATTTGGTACAGTCCTGGAATTTTACAAAGCTGTGCTTTCTGGCCCTGGAAATGTCTAGCAGGGAAAAGCAGGAGCCTAATGCCTGTGCAAACATGCTAATCTGGGTCTTAATAACGTCTCGCCGGGGTAAGGAAGTTACTCAGCCATGATGGATAGAAAGTGAGGACAGAAAAAGTGAAGTAAACGTTAATGAAACAAGCACACTCTGAAATAATTTCTAATTTCAGATTTGTAGCCCTTCCTGTAACCCTTGCATTCTCACGAGACGTAATTTTGAAGTTATGTCAGGAAATGCCTTTGTGAACCTCAATCAATTATAGTTTCAATTGTTCAACAGCCCTTTGTGAGAACTTGATCACAGCTTCTGACTTATGGCTCTGGTTAGCCTCCTTTTCCTTCTTTTCTTCATCTCTCTGCGGTTCATCATTGGTTACATGTACAGTCGGTGCAGTTGCTGGTGGGAGTGCCATGGGGTTTCGGCCAGGGGAGCAGCATGGAGTCAACTGTTTCAGGGCTCTCCCCCTCACAATAACAGGAGGCGACACAAACAGCTCAATCAGTGTTGGGGAGTGTGTCGGAGGGGAAGGGGCTTAGGAGAAGGGAATGCTGGGAACAACGTCAAACATCCTCCATTCCTGAGCTGTGCGCTCATATCTTTGTGTCCCTGTCTTCTAGAGTTTCCTCAGCGGATGCTGCAGCTTGGAGAAAGGGATTGCTGCTCTTTATCCTGTCACTTCCTCCTCTGCCCTCTCTCAAGCCTTCTGTTGGAGGTGTTTGTTCCAATTGAGCACTGAGAGTTACACTTTTCAAAGGGCCAACTGCACCTTTATGCACCAAGATATTTAAATATGCGAATATATATCGACACAACTAACGATAGCTTCAGCAATCAATGAAATCTAACCAGACATTCAAACTACCTCAGCAGACGTGTTGCTCTAATCCTCCGCTGTACTCCACTCTACTGCTACTTAAGTTTGGACACAAATTGGATATCTGAAATAGAAATCATTTTGTTAATACTTTAGCATTTAACTCCACATAACAGTCTTTTTTGCTGTAGCTACTCTTTGCATCGTGTGCCATTCAATGAAGCAGCAAATCCCTCTTTGACAATAGCACAAAGGTGTTTATCTTTATATTAAATCAACCTCTGCATTCCTGAATGTTGGCATGCTTCGTTGGGCTTCGGAACCACCGGCTGATAGTTATTTTTACACTTTCCTGTTCAGAAAACACGACAGTCCCCCCCCCCACAATGAACTATGATGCATTTCCTGCAGAGTGGATGGAAAACAGTGCCATGTGTTAACATCCCCACCCTGCAAAACACGAGGGTCAGGGCTGGAAAAAGAGGAGGGCCCGACAGGAGAGGCCAGACATCGATAAATCATGTTTGTGTCTAATTCTATGTAAAGTCATTTTATTCCATTCCCCGCCATATGCTAAAAGAAATCATCAACCTGGTTGTTAGGATCTTTTGTATCATCATGTGTTGACTTTACTATTCGCATACATGATTGTAATGAAAGATAGAGATAAGCCAGAGACCTCATGGTGGGTGGAGGGCGTTGAGTTTGAACCTCAGTGATTATACAGCTCCACCTAAATAACTGAAGGTGGGTGGAGGGCAGGGCGAGGGCAATGCTGCTGCAGCTATACTGTAGCTTCCTGTCTCCCTCATGTCATGGAAATAATGTTTTGTTTCCCTCCAAAAATATTGCGGTGATCATGACGCCTCTACCACAAGAGAGGGCCCCTGCCAACTGGGAGGACTGGTTCCCATGGGGTGTTGGTGGGTCTAAGAGTGGCAGTGTGCAACATGCAAGGGTACTTTACCATCTTACTGGTAATGCCACTGTTTTTCTCAGCGAACTGTGACCTTAAATAACGGAACAGGAAGCAGCACTGCTGAGTAGTTAACCTGGCGCAGAAGAACTGAGGTGTTCATTCGCAAACATCTAAGACCGTTTTTTAACAACGGCACTTTTCAAAAGGTCATGAAGCGCGTAAAGGCCATATAGAGCCCTGATATCCGGATATCAGTTTGCATTTTTGCAGTTCTGGGTTCCTTGATTTAAAGATATTGATGTTTTTTGTTAGTATTGTTAAATGACTGAACCAAGGGGGGTTAACCCAAGCTTAAAATACTTTAACATTTGGTTCTACAACATCAAGTATGTCAGAAATACCCAATTTGTACGTTTTTTTGTGTCTTAACAAAAGACGTCTGCTTACAAGTGTCCCTATTCTGCTCATTTTCAGGTTCACATTTGTATTTAGTGTCTCTACTGTGACATGTCTCCATGCTTTAATGTTCAAAAAGCTCTTTATTTCTCTCATACTGCCTGTAGCTGCAGCACCTCTTTTCACCCTCCGTCTGAAACCAGAGCCCAGTCTGCTCTGATTAGTTAGCTAGCCGGCTCTGTTGTGATTGGTCAACGGTTAGAGATGTCCCGCCCTTTAGCCTATCACATACAATGTGTACAATGTTGCCAATAGAAGCACGAGTGTTACATAGTGATATCACTATGTTGCAGAAGTAAACAAAGGAGTCCAAAGGAGGCGTTTCAGGCAGGGGGGAGAATGTGTGGGAGAACTTTTTCCTTTAGCCATTGCAGACCTACATGCACAACAAACCTGTATAACCCTCTATAGGAGAGAGAAAACCCCAAAAAGCATAATAGGGCCTCTTTAGGTAGACGGCAGATGTTGTTGTGGACATTAAACGTCATTAGGCCAAACACTAGTCTGCCTTAGCTTAATGGTGTTGACGTTGAAGTCATGTGGCTGAAGTGTAGTTTGTTTGTAGCCGGAGGTTTTTGGCCTGCATGATGATTGCACAAACCCTTTCCAAATCATCAACAAAATATGTAAGTATCATAAACTTTTGTGTGAAACAGCTTATTTTCTGCAATAATCCGAAATCCAGTAGAAATATCCCATTGACCTTTTGACCAGGGAGCCAGATTGTTTTCAATAATACTTCAACTCTGAAACTCTCCATTGGATTGTAGTCCATTTAGATATTTACATGTATGTATGCAACAGATAAATACACAGTTCTGTGACCGCCTGCAGTTGTGTTTGTACTCACTGTGAAGTGGTTTTATTTAAGTACATTATTCAACGCAGATGTCCAAAGGGCCCCTACACGACAAATCTGGCGCCTGATGTCTGCGTACGACCAGAACAAGTCACAAACAACACTAACACTATTTATTCAAGATAAACTGAGCTGCTAAGTGAAACAAACTCACTCCATTGGAACAACATCTCCCAGTTCAAATGACAGCTGATGGATATAATTGACCTATACTCTGACTTTCATCCAAATTAAGATTTGCGATTATTGATGGCCAATGAAAAGTAACTAAAATGTAAATAAAGGATATACATTATTAATAAATCAGACCAGAAAGTGACGTTTATTCAGATAACCACAGGTAAAATGTGGTTCTATCGGCTTAATCCTGACGGTTTGCCACACA